TGCCGCTGCCTCCCCCCATGGGGAGCATGCTCCAAGCCACGTTGCATGGCCACTTGGAGCACACCCCCACCCTTGGTGTGTGTGTGTGTGTGTGTGTGTGTGTGTGTGTGTGTGTCTGCTGGTGGCCTGTCCCCAACCACACCATGGAGGCTTGGAGCAGGTGCCCCCTATGTTGAGCTCTCAGGCTCCTGGCCTCCACTGCATGTTGTACTCTCCCTTGAGCTGTGGCCATGGTTGGTTGCTGCCTGCAGGCCGCGCTTTACTGCTCACGAATTGCCAGATTGCCGTGGAGACCCGGGGGCAGGCCCACCTGGGTGCTGCCTGCAGCCACACTTTCCTGCTCTGGGATCGCCATGGCAACCCAGGAGCAGGCCCACCTGGGGGCTGCCTGCAGGCCACTCTCCTGCAATGGGATTGCCATGGCGGCCCAGAAGCAGGCCTTGCTGGGTGCTGCCTATAGGCAGCACTTTCCTGCCCTCAGATTGCCATGGGGGCCCAGCTGGCAGCAGGGCTTAGGCAGCACAAGGGGGTCCTGGCTGGGGGCACTGCCTGCTGCCCAGGTCGCAGATAGCAGGTCCGGATGATGGGCCTGGATGGTGGCTCACACTGTCCCACCCTGCCTGTAGTATGCAAATTAGCCGCCATCTTTGTTGGCGGCTAATTTGCATATCACGCTGATTAGCCAATGGGAGGTGTAGCAAAGGTACAGTCAATTACCATCTTTGTCTATTATTAGATAGGATGGTCTGACATTCATTTCTCTTCCTCATTCCTCCTGTTTACAATTTTCTAGAGTAAGTACAATGCCATTTCTTTAACTATTTACTGATTATCCAGAAACAAAAGTATAGCACAGAAAAATAATCTTTATTATGTTGTAACTAGAAACAGATCAGATAGCAAGTTCACAAGGAATTTTTTATTTTTTTTTATGATCAGGCTTCAATAATAATAATCAAAATGAGTCTCAGTTGCACAGATATTTTGGTCACTATTATAATCTTCAAGGGCACAAAAGCCAGCAGCGTAAACTAATATGTAGGTAATGACTACGAGAGTTTCCCATGGGCCAAAATTGTAGACCACTGCATTAAATTCTACCCTTGTATTTTCTTAATATTCTTCTTAAACATTGAACAATTATTGTTACTCAGCAAAATATCAAACATGCACACAGTATTCCTACAAGAATACTATCTTAATATTGTCAGTATTAATACCAAGCTATTCTTTCCCCCAAATTCAATGAAACATGGTTCTATTACCAATATGTATGTGTGTCAGTGGTAATATGCAAACTTGATTTTGTTTTCATGGTTAAACAGCAGATTGACTTTGCATTTGGTGACCAGCTGTAGATCTTATCTATATTATAAAAGACCAGTGGCCCTAACGCCATAACACCATAATGACTGGTCACCAGGAGGTGCATGGAGCACCTCTCGGGCCCTACCCGCACCCCACCTTCCAGCCCTCCCCACCCTCCTTTCTTCCCACCCTCCCGGGGTGCCAGCAGCATCCCCAGAGTGTTGTGGGGCGCCGGCAGCATCTGAGGAGCGTCACAGGGCGCCGGCAGCATCTGCAAAGCGTGCAAGGCATCGCAGGCAGCGGACATGGCCCTGATGGCAGGCTGGGCCTAGGAGACCCTACACGCACATGATTTAATCGTGCACAGGGCCTCTAGTTTTTTAAATAAATTTAACTACATTTCATAAGCCCTGAGATTTTCAATAACTTGCCAATGATTATATACTTTTAATTTATACTTTATTCCAATTAATTTGAATCCCACATAAGCATTTAAAATTATTTACAGATGGTTGTAACTAAAACAATGATAAAATTTACTACTTGTATAGTAAGACTCCTCTAATAAGGCCTTTAACTAAGAACTGCATGTTTTATGCATTTTTTACTTGCTAGGAGCAATTCTTAAAAATTCTTAAAGTTACTATTCTCTGTCAGCAATAAGCGCTTTTCGCTTTGCTACATAAATAACCAGATTCACTTTCCCTCTCTTGTAAACAACTTTTTTTCTTCCCACAAACATAAATGTTAACAGTCCAACTGAACAGGTACCAAAAGAAACTTAGTATTTGAACAGCAGATAACTATAATGACTAGCAGAGAAATATGCTCATAACAAACAGGCATTCAATAGTATTTGTTACACATGGAATGCATGAATTGTAAGGCAGCTGTTAGGCAGATACTTTTCATCATACACCATAACTCATTTTGTTTAACAAGGGAATTCAAGGTTACCAGATTTAATTTGCCCTCAAATGTAAATCCAAGATTTTGAAATTTTAAAAACTGTTTTAACAGTTCTCAAAAAATGTAAACAAGTTAATAGTAGTTACTACTGCAATATCAGTTGAAAGGAAAAAAAGAACAATTGCTTTCTATTAATCCATATGTACAGCTGAGAAGAAATATAAACTTAAGAAGTGTTAGCTAGCCCTACCTGGTTTGGTTCAGTGGATAGAGAGTCAGCCTGTGGACTGAAGGGTCCCAGGTTCGATTCTAGTCAAGGGCATACGCCCAGGTTGCGGGCTCAATCCCCAGCAGGGGGCGTGCAGGAGGCAGCCGATCAATGATTCTCTCTAATCATTAATGTTTCTAATGTTTCTATCTCCCTCTCCCTTCCTCTCTGAAATAAATAAAAATATATTTTTTTAAAAAGTGTTAGCTAATAATTATTTTCTCCAGATTTATCCTAGCAGTGCGTTTTGTTCATATATTTATCCCTGTTAACTTCTCTGAAGCTGAAAGAGAATTTTATTATCTGAATAGATTTCCTTAACTCCTTAGGTACATGTTAGTAAAAAGCTGGTGTAAATATAAGGTTGTATTTTCAAGTCATGCCATGTTTCTGTATTTGTTTTTTGCTGACATTAATTTTTTCCTATTGAAATGATTCTGTCTTTATAGAATATGAGCAAATCTGCCAACTTACTATGTATGAGATTGCTTGCTTATAATATTCAGTTTTTGTTGATAGCTTTGAAGCATATTGCACACCTGTCATCTAGAGTATTAATAAGTAACTTACTCTTTTTAGAAAGTATACACTGACAAATTCTTAAGTGAATGGCTTTGGCCAAACATTTTTAGGATGTCACAGGACAATAGCAATGGCAAAAACATTGACGATACAGTTCATGGTTCGGTTCTCCCATCTCACAGTACAGGTTCCTGAAAACACACACACAAAAGGACTTTGAAATACCAGCAAAACAATGAAATTACCAGATAATATATTTTCACAGGTTTTAATATCTTATTTCCTGCAATCTGTTAAATGTTAATATTTCATATTTGTCTGAAGACAAACTTGTTATAGTTAGATACGACACAATTCTATTGATAAAGTTTTTTCAGAATTAAAAGTAAATAAGCATTTGACAATAAGTACACTGTTTGACTTTGTTAGTAGTTGGATTTTGTTTGAATCAGCTTAAGGTCTCTTACCATCAGATGTGGTATCCCAAAAGCATGAGCTGGCTGTGTGAAAGCCATATGCACTCCTCTGGACCACTGCACAGGTCACTAAAAATAAAGTCACAGAGTGAGGATGCTTATAAACAAAGGAAAAGATATCCAAGATCTAAGTGTTTGAGTTTTTGGCTTTAAAAGATGTAAAAATAATAGAAAACAAAGCATTTAGCAAGTAAGAATTTAAAAAATAAAAAAGCCCTCACCTTGATTATTTAATACCATGATTTTGTCCCCACTGGATCCAGTCTGTTTGTTGCCCATTGCCATAACCAGTTGTTATGTGCCCTGCCTCATGAACATAATTCAAAGAAAATATTCCACTTTAGAAATAATTATTGTGTGGTACTTCACAGTCCTACATGTAAGGAGGCATGTGGTTACTGAAAAGTAGACAGTAGTGCCCAGTAGGTTGTGGTGGAAAGAGCTAACTGATCCTATCTAATAATAGACAAACATGGTAATTAACAGTACCTCTGACACGCTTCCCATTGGCTAATCAGGGAGATATGCAAATTAACTGCCAACCAAGACGGCAGCTGGCAGCCAGGCAGCTGAAGCGAACAAAAAGCTTGCTTGCTCCAGCAATGGAGGAAGCCAAGGTTCCCCGCCTGCCGCTGCCGGCCTCCATGCTGCAACTCTAAGCAACTATGTTGCAATTATAGAACCTAAACAAACCCCAGAAACCTGCTTTCAGCCAGCCGGGCTTCAGCCAGCAGGATCGCAACGGTGTTACAATTATAGAACCCAAACAAACCCAGATACCTGCTTTCAGCA